GTGCTTGTGTGTACTGCTGTTGGTGAATGCCAAAATTGTCTTGTAAAAGTAGTAGAAATGTGTCTGGGGGTCAGTACAGTCGAGATCTTGGAACATATCCCTATTTGTTACATTGTAAAGTGGGTTCCCTTTATGCAAATCTGAGTTGTGCACCATTTTCAAGGAAAACATGTACAGCATAAAGTGAGGGAAACCTGTAATTGCAAACCTGTCGCTTGCATTGATTATGGCCCTGCTCCAGCCTCTGGCACACTCCCCAATTGGGGGGAAAGAGGTGTTTAATATTGGTTTGATACTATCCAGGTATTTTGCTGTGCTAGGGGATTCCTCTGTCTTTACTTGTCTGATTAGGGTAGGTGTTTTTTACATTGCCAGAGCTAAAGTAGCCACCTGGTAAACCAAGTGAATAAGTTTTTGTACTTAGGGAGTTAGATAACAGCAAGGGGGACATGCAGTGAAGAGGACAGTTCTTGCAAAAGTTCATCCTGCAAGTTCCAAAGTTTGTGTGTTGTAGAAAGTCAAAATAACACAATTCTCTGTCTGACTCTGAAAATCAGACACTTAACAAGAGATCCAAAAAAAATCAGGGCATTTTAATAATGGTGTGACAGAATAAGGTTGGAAGTCAGTTGGATATCCAAAGCGACAAAATATGCAGGGGTTGAGAAGATGAATATATCAAGACCATAGCTATGTGAAATACCAGGTAAAAGAATAATATTGCTCTGTGTTCACACTATCTAACAGGCACCAAATGACTCAATTCCAGCACCTGTACAGTAAAGTAAGCTTGAAGAGAAACTATGAAGAAAGGAAGATAAGAAAGCCAGCTACGTCAGAAGAATTGAAGGGGTATCTAAATACCTATGGGTACTTTATAGCTTCGCCATGCCCATGAAAGATAGAAGTTGGTAATCATCAATTGCCAAATTAGAGAGCTATAGTTAGTATTTAGTCTGTTGAAAAGAAGACTGAAGGGAAGTCTTCAAATACCTGAAGGGCAATAATAAAGGGGGTGGAGAAAGACCATTCTCGATGGGGACAAGATTGGGAAAAATGGCCTCAAGCTGGAGAAGAGAAAATTGAGGTTGGAGATTAGAAGAAACTTTCTGACTACGAGGGTGGTCAAGCTTTGGAATAGGCTACCTAGAAAAGCTGGTGAACCTTCATCCGTCAAGCGAGAGGTAAGGGGTGTGCACGTGTGTGCGTGTTTGTGTAGTATGGATGGATATGGCTATGGATATGTGTAGGATGGATGGATGATAATCTCTTTGTGTATTATTTCTTCTTCCAGACAGAAACGGATTGTTATGAGTGGTATCTTTTATTAGATCAACTGCATGGTTGGAGTAATGTTAGGCAAACTTTCCAATGCAAAGCATTCTTCAGGTCAAGAGCACGTTAGACAGAGGTTTGGTTGGGATGGTTTATTCAGGCATGATCCTGCCTTGGGCAGGGGACTGAACTGGATGGCTTCAAGTGGTTCCTTCTAGCCTTACTTTCCTATTATCCTATGTCACTTGAAGGAGAGCCAAAGGTCTCTCTGCAGAATGGGGATTTCAGCCACCCTTCTCTTTAGCAGAGAGGTGCAACTCACCGACACACCATTGCCTGTTCACTCCCAACCAGTTACCCTAGTTGCTTGAAAGTGACAGGGATGCTTGGCAGAACTGACTAGATTTATTTTTAAATAAAAGCTCTCTTACCTGAAACCTTGTTTTTCCATTTAAAAAATAGACTATTTTTTGCTATGGAGTAATTGTTTTCCAACAGAAACTTCCTTGGCTTGTTGAGCCCCTCCTCCCCCCATTTACTTAAACCTTTCCCTCCCCTGATGTAGGGAAATCAAGGTGGTGGAGGTAGGGTGGCCATCATACAGGACATTGTGGTTTTCTGCTTCTCTGTCCTCTAATTGATATGAAACCTGACGCCTTTATGTCCTCTATTTTTTTCGTATCAATAGAGGACAGAGAAACAGAAAAATAGAGGCCGTAAAAAAAAGGACAAGATAAAAATAGAGGACATAAAGGCATCCAGTTTCATATCAACAGAGGACAGAGGACAACCAGACAGTCCTCTATGATGGCCACCCTAGGGGATTTAAAAAAAAAAAAAGTTCTTCTCACACTTCCCTTTTAAAGACTGGGAAAGTGGAATTAAAACAAAAAAAAATTCTGGAAAAGGAAGAGAAAACAAGACTTTCGGGTTCTGTTTTTTTTTTAAACAACTTTCTCCTCATAGTCCCTCGGAATGGGGAGGGAGAGCAACGCTGCCCCACCACGTGCTGATGGAGGCTGGAGCCGAGCGCGCCACAGCCGCTACTGCGGCGGCTGCGGCAGGCCCCGCCCCTAACGGCCGCGTTCTCAACGCAACAGACTGGCCAGGCTGGCGCGTGGCCATTTCACCTCGTCTGGGCTCGTGGGGCGCTGGGAGGGGCGGGATGGAGGAGCCGTGGGGAAACGACACCGAGCGACCGTTTGAATACGTCAATAACAACGAGTTCCACGGGGAGCTCCACATCGTGGCGCGGGAGCGGCCCTTCGTGGTGCTGCTGATCTTCCTGGCCTGCGCCAGCGGAGGTAGAAGGCGATGGCCAGAGCCTCCCCCCCTGCTGGACACCCCAGACCCAAGCAGCAGTTCAGAACGAGGGAGGGGGGGAGAGGTTGCTCCCCTCCTGGGCTGAGGGGCAGTGAAGCTTGAGGGGGGCTGGTGATAGGGCTTGCCCCACAGTAGCTCAGCTTCTGATCCGGGCTTGTCACTGCTTTTTATTTCTGTTTAATGTCTTCCACTCCATGTGCGCTTTTCCAGCTACACATCTTCACTGGTCTGTTATCTCCTTCCTTACACAGTTGCTGCCGTCAGCACTCCTCTTCCTTATTTCTCATCTCATTTTTCCCTCTGCTTGACTGACTCCCACTTATTTTTCTGTTCTTAGCTTGCCAGTTACAACCCTTCATATGCTCCCCACTTCTAGCTCTCCCAAAGCCAGAGGGTCCCAAAACAAAAGTACTCAAAACACCCATTTTTTCTCAGGCAAATTGGAGCCTGAATGGAATTCCTTGAGGAGGCGTCCACTCATGTGAAGCCTCAAGTATTTCACCCATCCTATTCAAACCTCTGAACTTGTTGCCTCTCTGTTGCCACCCCATTTAAGTAACTTTCCTAATTGCTGTTGATACAAGACTATGAGTTAGCAATCTGGCAATGAAGAAAAAATACTATACATTTCTTTCAGACAACACAGTGATATGTCAGTTTACTCCAAAGTATAATTCAGAATTTCAGTATAATTCAGGGCGTACTTTGCCGTGCTCAGTAGCATAACCAGGAAGAGGGAATGAGTGGGGCATCAGCCTGGTGACAGCTCCTGCTTGCTAGAGTAGAAACAGCCCTGCACCACCTGACCTGCTGGAGCAGCCCTACCCTGTCTAGATCTGGGAGCTGGGTGAGGAAACCACCTGCCTTTACGCTGCCGCTGCTCTCCAGTGCTTGGCACCCCCACACACCTGGGTGCAGAGGAGTTTTGCCCAGGGAACAAACTCATTAGTTATGCCTCTGCTAATATTTAAACATAATAATACTTAACAAAAGATGACAACCCAAATTAGTTGCAAATGAGCTCCACATACTTAGTTGCACAGAACCAAGTCCTACAGAAGAATGTGGTTGCCGTTTAATCCTAGATAAAGAGTGAAAAATTTCACCCAAAACACCATCATAAAATGGATTAGGGACTACATTATTAGAGTTTTATAGACTTCAGAAAGCAGCTGTTCTGTGATTTTATGGTCCTCTGTATCAGCATCTTAAATTTGTAACTTGACCAATACTGATTATGTTTAAAAGAAATAGAAATTGCAATTCAAGTTGTTGCCAATGCAGTATTGAATTGAAAGGTATTAAATGCTGTGCTACCCCTTAGTCTTTAAAAAAAATATTTTTCTCCTTGAATTTTGGCTCTTTTTACCACTTCTACAACCTCTACTATTTAGTGTTTCCCACCATTACTGGATTAGTCAGCCCTAATCATGTGAGAGGAAAAAAGCCCATGAGTTATTAGCTAGCAATTTTTTTCCTCTGAGATATGTGGTTTGCTGATTAACCTATCCTATGCTTTGATATGAGGGGGACCTACTATGAAGACACAGTTGACAGTTTCAGTGTTAAAATCATATGTTAGTTTTTGTCATGATTTATTTTGACAAATATAAGTAAAATGTATCTATGTATCTTGTGAATTATTATAATTTATGTGACAAAACTCCCCATACTGTATTTTCTCATATGTGATGCTCAGCTGTTCCCTAAAAACACAGGTGCTAGAAGTTGGCATGCTCATTGTATGCAGAAATTATGGTAAGAGCAGTTTCTGCTGCTGACTGGGTGAAACCAAAAGTAATATCTGCAGCATCCGCAAGGAGCAGAACAATGAGCAGGCTTGCCTCCTTAGTTGCTTCTACTCAGTTACTTACTATAAGGAAAGATCTTTTGTCCCTCATTTTACCTTTCAGAAGCAAGATGTATATTATTTTCTTGTGTTGTATGTGAGAAAATACAGTATTCTGTGTTATCCTATCCACAACATTGCAGATCAGGTAAAAGATCATTTCATAATAGGTCTGCTGGCTTGTTGATGTGCAGAGCTTCACATGTTAATGTTATAAATGACAATATTTTTCTGCATATATTAATCTCTTCTTTTTTATTACCAGCGTTGATGAGGACCATTTTGAAGGACACAAATATTCCTATTATTGCCATTGTTTATGTCATTGGAATTGTCTTTGGATTATTGGGCTACTTTTCACTAGAGGTAAATGCAACCATAATCAAAATGAGATTGGAAAGTAACAGAAGTATGAGTTCTTCCACCTCCTGCAGACAGTTATAAATAGATAGGAAATTAAATCTAGTGCAGTAGTTCCAAAGCTCCAGTCTGTTTCACAGTACAGTTACTGGTCAGATAGTGCTGGCTAGCCTTACTTCTGGGTTCTAAATGACATGAAGAAACAACTGAAATAGATTAAATACTTCCTTAATACTAGTTTTCCATGGAAGAGAAATGAGGTGAGGCTTGTATTTGGGATGTGATTGGAGGTCATTTGCAAAACAGCCTTTTTATTAAGGCAGGGCTGTCAAACTGGCAGCTTTCAGGCTGCAAGTAAAAGGTAAATGTGCAGCTCCTGAGCTCTCACTTGATTGTTGCCCCCACCATTG